GGGGGGGGTGGTGGGGGGGTGGGGTGGGGGTGGGGGTGTGGGTTGGGGTGGGGGGGGGTGGGGGGTGGGGGGGGGGTGGGGGGGGTGGGGGGTGTGGGGGGGGGGGGTGGGTGGGGGGATCGTAATTTTTTTTTTTTGTTTTTTTTTGTGGGTGGGGGGGGGGGGGGGGCAACATATACATTTCTATATGTATATATATATGTATATATATATATATTTTTTATCATATATCGTATATCGCTTGCGTTCAGCACAGAACAAGATCTTTGGTTCTAAGGCATGCCCCCCCCCCCCCCCCCCTGATCGGGGCCTTCTGTACATGACAAGGAAGACGATTCTGCAAGGGCATGCCTGGGGGGCATCTTAAGGTTTAAGGCTGAGGGTTTAGGGTTTAGGGTTTAGGGTTTAGGGTTTAGGGTTTAGGGTTTAGGGTTTAGGGTTTAAGGTTTTAGTGCCTAGGGTTTAAAGTGTAGGGTTTAGGAACTAGGCTTCCGGAACCCTAATCAAGCCCCAAACGCTAGACCCGAACACGCTTTTGGCAATTTTGGTTTCAGAATCCTGCCATAACGGGTGCTCCAAATGTTTCAGGCTCGAAACTGCCTTGCTGGGGCTCCGTAGGGAATTCGGGAATGAGGGCCCCATAAAGTCCTTAAAAGGGTGTTATTATAAGGTGCCCAGTTCCCCAGACCCCTAAACCCGCACCAAATATCCGCTCACTTCGGCGTTGTGCATCGAGCCTTGTTGAAAATTGCCTTACACGTCGAGGCGGATATAAGTCTTCTGCAGCCCGCATGCGGTCATTGACCATCCACTGTCTTGCCGGCTCGACATTTGAGCTGGATGTGGAAGATGAGGACAAGGGGCTGGATGTGCGAAGACGGATAGCAGAAATTGTGGGCCTTTCACCAACATCAATCGTGCTGACTTCAGGTAATCGTGTCCTCGATCTGCACCAGCCGCTGCTGCAACAAACTCAAGACCAAGAGGTCACATATGTGACTCGGAAACTGGGCGCCGGCCACGCGGCACGCAGCATAGAGCGAGCGATAGGACGCAAACGACTGAATGACGACGCGGATGCCACGGCTGACGTTGTTGCCTTGACCTTCGGCTTTCATTTCAACCAGAGCTTGGCAGGGGTACAGCTTCCCATGGGTCTACGGACTCTGACCTTTGGATTTGAGTTCAACCAGAGCTTGGCAGGAGTGCAGCTCCCCAGTGGCCTGCAGGATTTGACATTCGGCTGTGAGTTCGAGCAGAGCTTGGATGGAGTGCAGCTTCCCAGCAGCCTGCAGACTTTGACTTTTGGCGACAGGTTCAACCAGAGCTTAGAAGGGGTGCAGCTTCCCAGCAGCCTACGGACACTGACATTAGGCCATGCGTTCGACCAAAGCTTGGAAGGGGTGGAGCTTCCCAGCGGCCTACAGACACTGACCTTTGGCAATAATTTCAGCAAGAGCCTGGAAGGGGTGCAGCTTCCTAGCAGCCTACAGACCTTGACCTTTGGCGACACGTTCAACAGGAGCTTGGAAGGGGTGCAGCTTCCCAGCTGCCTACAGACACTGATCTTTGGCTATGCGTTCGACCAGAGCTTAGAAAAGGTGCAGCTTCCTAGCGGCCTGCAGACTTTGGCCTTTGGCGAAACATTCAACCAGAGCTTAACAGGGGTGCCGCTTCCCAACGGCCTACAGACTTTGACGTTTGGCCTTGAATTCAGCCAGATCTTGGAGTGGGTGCAGCTTCCAAGCGGCCTACAGACCTTGACCTTTGGTGAGAATCTTTGCCAGAGCTTGGAAGGGGTGCAGCTTCCCGCCAGGCTGCAGGTTTTGACCCCCGGCCTTTGGTTTGACCAGTGCCTGAAAGGGGCTCAGCTTCCCAGCAGCCTACGCACCTTGTCCTTTGGCGACGGTTTCGACCAGAGCTTGGAAGCGGTGCAGCTTCCCAGTGGCCTGCAGACCTTGACCTTTGGCTTCTTTTTTGACCAAAGCTTGGAAGGGGTGCAGCTTCCCAGTGGCCTACAGACACTGACCTTGGGCTATGCGTTCGACCAAAGCTTGGAAGGGGTGGAACTTCCCAGCGGCCTACAGACACTGACCTTTGGCAATAATTTCAACAAGAGCCTGGAAGGGGTGCAGCTTCCCAGCAGCCTACAGACCTTGACCTTTGGCGACACGTTCAACAGGAGCTTGGAAGGGGTGCAGCTTCCCAGCAGCCTACAGGCTTTGACCTTTGGCGACAATTTCGATCAGAGCTTGGAGGGGGTGCAGCTTCCCAGTGGCATGCAGACCTTGACTTTCGGGCATGATTTCAACCAGAGTTTGGAAGGGGTGCAGTTTCCCAGCAGCCTGCAGACCTTGACCTTTGGCTATTCTTTCAACCAAAGCTTGGAAGCGGTGCAGCTTCCCAGTGGCCTGCAGACCTTGACCTTTGGTGGCTTCTTTTTTGACCAAAGCTTGGAAGGGGTGCAGCTTCCCAGCGGCCTGCAGAGCTTGACCTTCGAGTTTTGCAGGAAGAGCTTGGAGGGTGTGCAATTTCCCAGCGGCCTACAGACCTTGGCCTTTGGCGACACGGTGGACCAGAGCTTGCAAGGTGTGCAATTCCCCAGCACCTTGCAGACCTTGACTTTCGGCGACACGTTCGACCAGAGCTTGCAAGGGGTGGAGCTTCCCAGCGGCTTACAGACCTTGACCTTTGGCGACATGTTCAACCAGAGCTTCGAAGGGCTGCAGCTTCCGAGCAGCCTACAGACACTGACCTTTGGCTATATGTTCGACCAGAGCTTGGGTGGACTGCAGTTTCCCACCTCACTGCAGCATTTCGCCTCGAGCATTGTTCAGGTGGACACCCGTTAAGTCTCATGCGCGAATGCAAAGGAAGCTGGACAACACGTGCAACCGTCCTTGACCCGCAACGCTCGTGTCGGGCGCTCGCCTCACCAAGCCCGAAACCCTAAACCCTGCTGCCCCCAAAGCCTCACATCCCCACCTCCCAAGCATTCACCTCGTAGCCCAAAACCCAAACCAACCCTGAAACCCCAAAGTCACCCAACCCACCCCTCCCCCACAACAAATGCAGGAACAGCAACGCAGAGCTGAACGCTAACACCCCTCCTGAAGTTATCAGTCCAAGACCAACCTTGAAACCCGAGCATCTCCAACGACAAGCCAAACCGGGTCTAGGTTTTGGGGCTTAGGCCTCAACACAAACCAAACCCTACACCCCGAAACCCCTTAATCCTCAACCCTACCCAATCCCTGTAGCACACAGCAAATCCCAAATCTCGAAAACCGCTCAACCCTAAGCCCCCAAAGCCCCTAACCCTAAGCCCTAACCACTAAACCCTAAACCCTAAACCCTAAACCCCCTAAACCCTGAACCTTTAAACCCTAAAACGCCTAAACTGCCCTGAGCTTTTTCAGCCCTGGATGGACGAAATCTTGCACCACCTGTACATGCATACTTCAAACGATTGGGGCATCAAGCCCCGCACCCCCTGCTTAACATTGGCGGCTGGGACTACTTGAGCGGTGCCCTAAACCCTTTATAAACCCTAAACCCTAAACCCTAAACCCTAAACCCTAAACCCTAAACCCTAAACCAATGTTAAAAAGGCGGTACGGGGAACACAAAAAGACGTGTCTGAAAAGTGGTGCAAGATTTTGTCCATCCACAGTAGCAAGGTACAGGTCGACACTGACATCAACAAGCTGGAGAACCTGCCGCCTGAGGACGAGGTCGACGTCGTTTTAGGGTTTAGGGTTTAGGGTTTAGGGTTTAGGGTTTAGGGTTTAGGGTTTAGGGTTTAGGGGTTAGTGTTTAGGGTTTAGGGTTTAGGGTTTGGGGTTTGGGGATTCCCCGCGGTTTAGGGGGTTAGGGATCTGGGGTTTTAGGGGGCTTTGAAGGCTTTATGGGCCTTTGGGTTTAGGAGTTCAGGGGGTTTGGGGTTTAGCAGCGTCCGACGTTTCTCTCAGACATGGCTCGACTAAGGGATCTTGGCGAGGGCTTTTAAGCCTTTAGGGACCTAGAGGTTTAGGGGTTCGCGGGTTTAGGGGTTTAGGGGGTTTGGGGACCTAGGGTTTCGGAGGCTTTCTGGGAATTAGGGATTTAAGGGTTTAGGGGTTCGGGGGTGGGGGTTGTACGTATATAACAGGTATATAGTGGCTTCGGATTCAGGGTCAGCGTTCGGGCAGTCACTGGTACCAAAGGGGGATAATCTCGGAGCATACCCCATACGGCCCTGTCTACCTCAAATGGCCTTTTGCCCTAAACCTAGAACCCCTAATCCCCCTGAACTAGAATATTTCCTCGGACGGAGCCCTAAACCCTAAACCTCGACACCCCTTATACGGTCTAGAGGTGTTCGGTCTCCGATTTGGACCTTCTGTGGCAGGTCTTCGGGGACGGTGGCGAGCAGGCGAGGACGGCTGGTTTGAGATTTCTTCTTGCTTGGAATCTTAGCGCCCTGCCTTATGGAGACTGTCGAGCCGGTTTGCGGGCTCCAAACCCCTTGGGGTTTAGGGTTTAGGGTTTACGGTTTAGGGCTTAGGGAGGCTAAAAGCTGTAATCCCTACGATCCTGATCCATAACTCGTGTATGGTACAGTGTTTTCGTCCTATGCTGTTGGCTTGCAGCGCTTCACTTAAGTCTGGGCTGAAAGGGTCCCAAACCCAACTTCAGAACGCAGACTCTGATTTTGTTTTTGCAGGTTACCTAAGAATCAGGGGAGTGTAAAACGGCAGCCCACCAGCAAAATAAGAATTCGGGATGCTTAAGGGAATCTGTGCACTTGGCATTTCTGGACGCTCTAAACCCCCTTACGTCCTGAATCCTGTTGAGATGTGAGCTCAGATTTACGTACATGTACTGGCCATAGGGAGGGCCATAGTAGACTTGTAGGGTTAAGGTTCTTGTTGTGAGGGCAGGGTGGAGGCGTTGAGGCGGTGAGGCTCTAGTTGCTCTCAGCTGTCGTTTCTCAAGCCCCAAATCCGAAAGCTTGTGCAATGAGCAGCACAGGGTCCCGGATTTACATTCGAGCCAGCGATGGCACCAAGGGCCACCTGGCCATCTGAGGGCTTAGGGTTTATGGTTGGGGGGGTTGATCGAAATTGATGGGCCCGTCTTGGGGCTCTATGATTACGTAGAATCTGAGTCAGGATTTGGGATTTGGGGTTTAGGGTTTAGGGGATTTCCGGAAAGGAGAGGAGAATTTAGGTCTGCTTAGTTAGGCACGGGCTTAGGGTGAGTCGTGTGTGCCTGACATGAGATCTGCTGTGGGAATACAGAGCCTTGTCTTTCGGAGCCTTTATCGGGTACTTTTCGATTCTTGCTCTGCTTCTTTTGCTTCGGGATTTGCCCCAGTGCTGTCAGGGTTTAGGGTTGGGGATTTAGGTGTTTAGGGTTTAGTCAACCATACAATGAGGGCTTCCTAAGCCCACAGCCCTTAGCCCCTAACCCTATCCAGGTCCCTTGGCCCTATCCAGGTCCCTTGAGAGATGTGGTGGAAAGGCAGCAGCTGGAAGGGTACCTCCAAAGGTATGGCGACTTCGAAGATCTGTGGTTGCCGTGGAAGGCGACTTTAGGGTTTAGGGCTTAGGGTTTAGGGGTTTAGGGGTTTAGGGTTTAGGAATTTTGGGGTTTAGGGTTTAGGGTTTAGGGATGTTGGGTGGGGAGGGCTTTAGATTTTGTCATGCAGGTGGCACTGGGCCTGAGTAAACACGGCATCTCATTGTTGTATCCGATCTCTGCAATAGCTGCAGCACAAACCCTAAGCCCTAAACCCCCAAATCGCATTCGGGTTTAGGATTCTAGGTTAGCATCGCATCCATGTCACCACCACGAGTTTGAAGGCAGCGGACCAACGACCTTTCGGCTTTGTGACCTTCAAAGACTCTGCGGCGGCGCAGCGCTTTGTGGAGTGGTCCCCGCACAAAGTACCGGATGCAACGGAGGAGATCATTGCCAAGTGGGGGCAGGGACACTCAGCGATTTCATAAGGGTACTTCCCCCAAAAAAGGGGTACCCCTTCTGAACCCAAAGAGAATAGAAGCCCCTTAAAGGGACCCCGGGTACCCCTATCTTCGTTAACCCCTAAGGACTCCTAGTACCAAACCTGAACCCAACAGCTTGAAGGTAAGGGCTGGGGGTGGGCTTCAACCTTCGGGGTCACAAGGCTCATGCCCCCGACATGTTTACAGTCGAGGCCGGGTTCCCGTTCTTTAGCCTTTTTGGGCTCAGGGCCTAGAATCTTGAAAGCCCGAAACGAACCCTATCGCCCCAAGCCCTGCATCTCCGAGCCGCCGAGGACAGAAGAAGGCCCAGACGCAATGGAAGTCATCCGCCCGCGACCATGTGGAGGGAATGCTTCAGCCGCTGGAGGTTGATGCTGACGTGTCGATGAGGACCCGGGTGCTAGTGGGCTCAACAGGGCTTAAGGGTTTACCCCAAACCTTCGGGGACACAACGCGCCCGAAGAAGGACCCTTAGTCTTACTGCCCTATATCATAAACACATGTATGTATGTATGTATGTATGTATGTATGTATGTATGTATGTATGTATATATATATATATGTATATAGAGAGAGATAGATAGATGGATAGACAGATAGAGTCCCTAAATCTACGTGTCCTCTAAGAATCCTTTCCTGAGTTCCCTGAATCCACAAACCCAAGCCTTGAAGGTTTTAGGGCTCTGGATTGCTGAACCTTCTGCCTCCAAATTCAGACCCTAAGCCGTCAGCAATGAAACACAAGCTCGAGACTCTAAGCCGCAAGGAACTATCATTTTGAATCGGAGCAGAAGAAACAGTCCTTGGCAGGCGTCCTGACACGCAGGAGAGTTTTTGCTTGCCTGGCCTGTCGTTCTGGTACTGAGAGTCGTCACGGACCTAAACAAGCCTAAGCCCGATTCTTTCCTAGTTCCCTCGCAGCTGCGCGGGCAAAGGTATTCTGAAGTCCGCGGACGGAGCTTATCAAGACAAGCTGGCAGCTTCCAGGAAGATCATCACGGGAAGAGTCCCCAAGAAGGGCAAACCTCAGCTGCACCTGTTTCGAGGATGCTCAGTCGACACCTTGCTCCTTTTTGAAGCTGTTAGATTCCCTGATGAATGCCGTTACAGCAATGGCGCATTCTTCTTCTTCGGTGATGGGAACCCCAAACCTCAATTCCTAGAAGCCCTAGACCCTGAACACTATAATCCCTTCAATTGTATTCTTGGGTTCCCTAAAAGCCCCTATAAACCCTAGGGTTACAGCGGAAGCGAGGTTTTGCGGTCCGCCGGCCACTGGAAAGACCCTGGCGATGAAGGTCATTGCGGCTGAGGGAGGCGGCTTGCTCTGCCGGGTCTAGGGTTTAGGGTTTAGGGTTTAGGGTTTAGGGTTTAGGGTTTAGGGTTTAGGGTTTAGGGTTTATCAGGATTTCCGGTCTCGGGTTGGGGTTGGAGGATTTGTTTTGTTGGGAGGGGGAGGAGGGAGGGGGGGGGGGCGGGCGGGGTTTTGGGATAGAGGTTTAGTGAGGCTTTAGGGGTGCTATGTTGAGGACTTTGTCTGCTGATGCTTGATGTAGGAGGTCTGTCTCTCTCTCTCTCTCTCTCCCTCTGTCTCTCTCTCCCTCCCTCTCCCTCCCTCCCTCTCTCTCTCTCTCTCGCTCTCTCTCGCTCTCTCTCTCTCTCTCTCTTTCTCTCTCTCTCTCTCTCTCTCTCTTTCTCGCAGGGCACTGCCGGCGGCGAAAGTAACCCATATCGAAGACAGAGCAAGCGCGTTTCTGAACTTCAAAACCCACACCTTAATAGCGCGCTCTGACAGGCCTCAAGCCATTTTACATGAAGCTGGGCGAGCTGGGATACAACACCTCGACGGCTATGCAGAACGCCTTGAAGGAGGTTGACAAGCCCTTCAATCCAATCATCGGGGGCTTCGGTTTAGGGTAGTTGAGGACTCAGGGCCTTCAGGATTTAGTCGTGGGGGGGGGGGGGGTCATGGTTGAGGGTTTGTTTTGTTATGCTTCAGGCAGCTCAGCTAGGAGTTCGTCAATTTAGCGTGTCTCCATCCGTTAACCCTGCATACCCGAAGCTCTAAACTCTGCAAGTCCTAGTTATCACCGAGGATGTCATCTGGTCCCGATGGGGTCGGAGTGGCAGTCTTGATCGACGAGGCGGAGCAAGTGTTCAGCAGCCGGAGAAGCATGCAGGACGCCAACAGTGTGAAAGTCGAGGCGCCCTGGGCGCATCGATTTTTCAAGCCTCGACCGAATGACTGCCCAAAACCCTAAACCCTAAACCCTGAACCCTAAACCCTAAACCCTAAACCCGAAGCCCTAGAGCCCTGGAGCCTCCCCAGGCGAAGAAGGAACTTGTGAGAGCTTTCCTGGAGTGGACCGATGGCTTGCAGAGCAGGCCTCGTGATGCCAAACCCATCGTGGTTGCCACTGGCCAACGCAGAATTAGTCAGCGTTCAAGAATGCAGGGATTACCGGATTTAGGGAAAGTATACACCTATATAGCTTCGTTTTACAACTGTTTTTTATTCTCCATGTGCAGTTGAGTTGATAGAAAGTCAGACTCGGATTGAGGTGATGGCCACAAATCTGCGAAGCAGCATCGACGAAGCTGTCCAGAGCCGCGTGGGCAAGACCATCGAGTTTTCATATCCGACGCTCGCGCAGTGCAAGCAGCACTTCGCCGCGAATGCGTGGCTTGTCTTAGAGGACTGGCTGGACCGGGGTTCTCTTTTTGCCTTTGTCTTCTAGTTCCCTATGGTCTCATACTTTTCTCAGCTGTTTAACACACATATCTTTCCGAGTTTTTTTTTACCGTGGTTCTAGGGAGGTTCCTTGTTCACTGAGGCCAAAGGTTAAAAAGTGGCATTGGCTCCTGGCGGCATCCAGCCGACTTCTGGTTATGGACTTTCGGGAGCTCGAAGCGGTACATGTTCCTTAGTGCTGAGCAGGTAACCTTTATCTTCTTGGGCATGATACAACACCTTAGCAACCAAGGGTTCACTTCCTTGATCTTTTTTTGCCCCCTCATAAGCTCAGCGAGCAAGGATCTGGTGTGTGAACGAGATGCGGAGAAACTTGGGGTCTCGCCGGGAGATGTGAAGGCCTTTTCAGACTATCTTCCTGCGATGTGGTCCGTATGGTCGCAGCGGGGCAGGCATGGGTCGAGCGATCGGACTGCCTCGAGAATGATCGATGCCCTGAAGCTGATCATTTGGCAGCTCCCATATTTCTCATATCACCTGCGTGTGGTGAGACTCGGGCTGTTTTGAGAACCGTGTTAAGCTTTATGTGCAGGAAGCCCGCGATCGAGTCCTCCGCCCCTGTGTGGTAATTCATGGAAAATTTAGTTTATTGAAGCCCCGCAGCCGAGCCAGGAGACACGAGATGCAGCCGTTGCGTCAGAAGTTGATGCTGCTTCTGAATGCCGTGCTGCAGCCTCTGCGCGCTCGGCTGTAAGCCTTGCAGCGGCCTCTGCATGAATCATCTTCCCACAGCTCGAGAAGCGAGTGGATGGATCCCGGAGCCAGGGTGTCAAAGCATATCATCCCATAGATGCCTTTGCATGCGGAAGGCTTCTAGACTGGATGCATCGCCGTCCTGTTTCCGCATGGGCGACAGGGCCCAGACGAGAAAAAGCAGCGCTCAAACCCATCTTGCCTTCTGGCAGCCAGTAGCTCCTGTCGCCGCCATAGGGTTTGGGGTTTAGGGTTTAGGGTTTAGGGTTTAGGGTTTAGGGTTTAGGGTTTAGGGTTTGGGATCTAGGATTCACGGGTCTTTTCCACGTTTTTGGGGCCTCACCGGAGGCCACGAAGCAGGAGATCGACTACAAAGCCGCCGCCCCGAAAGAAGGGATCCGAGGCATATGTGATCCCGCAGATCCCAGGCCTCTTAGGGTTAGGGTTGAGGGTTTAGGGTTTAGGGTTTAGGGTTTAGGGTTTAGGGCTTAGGGTTTAGGGTTTTAGGGTTTAGGGTTAGGGTACCCTCTTACCAAGTTCCAGCTGACAATCAGACGCTGAACCTGCCCGCCATCCCCAAAAGAAGACTCAGCTCAACTTTTATATCCTGGAGCGCTAGTCACTGCTAGTAAACCTTAACAACCCTGTAAACCGTACAAACCCTCTATTGCCCATAAAACGCTAGAAGCCCTACAAACCCTATGAAACCTATCAAACCCTATAACACCCGACAAACCCTACAAACTCTGTAAAACCCTATACACCCTACAAGCCCTATAATCCCTACAGACCCCACAAAGCCCTATACAACCCAAAAAACCCTGTAAAAACCCTGTCAACCCCGTGAGGGCCCTATAAAAACCTATAGGACCACCATGAGCCCTACAAACCCAATAAACCCATAAAGCCATGTAAACCCTGCAAACCCTATAAATACCCTAAGAGCCCTACAAACCCTACAGACCCTCAAAACCCTGTAAGACCCTAAAAAACCCTACGAACCCTACAAACCCTATGAGCCTTATACGCCCGAAACTCATAATACCCTACAAAGCCTTCTAAAACCCCTTTAAAATCACTACAAAACCCTATAAAAACCTGCAAAACTTCAAAACTCTATTAAACCCCATAAAACCCAAAAAGCCTAAAAAACCCTGCAACGTACACGATAAAACCCTAGAAGCCTTAAAATCTCGGGGATCGGCTTCGAGCTTTAGGTCTTCAGCTCGGTAGTTGAGTTTAGGGTTTAGGGTTTAGGGTTTAGGGTTTGGGGTTTAGGGTTTAGGGTTAGGATGCCAAGGCGCAGATCCTGGATTGCAACATGATGCTGTGCTTTGAGCCGGGCGCCAACAATCAGGCTGTGCCTGTCATGTGTAGGGTTTAGGGTTTAGGGTTTAGGGTTTAGTATTTAGGGTTAGGGTTTGGGTTAGGGGCTGAGGAGGATAGTGGCTGAGCGTACCCTAAATGGCCCACACAAATGGGCGACGTCCCGGCAGCAAGAACCATGATTGCCCCTCAACAAAGGGATGTGTTGGGGCAACTAGATCAAACCTTGAAGTTTTGGTGAAAAGAGGGGACCCAAGCAGCTAAGGGATTTGTTGGGCTTGGGGCATCATCCCCTAAACCCTCTGGTTTATGACTTCGGGGATCCCGAAAGACCCCCTGAGGGCTAACCCGAAAGCAACCCTCAAACCTTAAACTGATAAACCCTGAGCCCACACTCCCGAGGTTCATGCAGAAGCATCTGACGCTGGCCAAGGGCCAAGACTACAGCAAGGACAAGCTTGTGCCGAGCTCCCAGGGATAAAACGACTGGAAGAAGTGAAAGGGAACCTGTTTGGGTGCATGATTCGGTATGTGCTTGCGAAGTCACCGAGGCAAAAGGGCCAGTGTCCTGCACATGGGGTTTAGATTGCACCGGTCAGCACCTCCCAGACTTGCACAACTCGTGCCCAGGAGCAACGTTCAGCCATATGAATTCAAAAGAACTAACTAGCGTTATGCAGATCATTCTCGCCATCGCTTCCCGCAGAAGTCTTCGAAACCAGCCCCCACCTGAGTCAATCCGATGTTGAGTCCCCCCTTTTTTTGCCAGTGGCGCAAACACCCAGGGTGACGCTGATGCACATCTTCGACGGTTGTGTTCTGCACACCCACCAGGCAGGCAGACCCAAATGATTTCACGATTTCAGGGCTGGTTCAGGGCTTTACAGGGTTTAGGGTCTATGGGGCTCAAGGGTTTTGACTCGGGCGTTTGGGTTTAGGGGGGTTTGCATTTTTGCAATCCGGTCCCTGCTTGAGGCACGTGTTGTCACTTTGGAACTGATGACGCGGCTACTGAAGCCGTCCCTTGAACCCCCAGACCCCAAACCCTTAAACCCAGAACTCATGGCATCGATGTGTAGGTATATATATATATATATAGACATATGTAAATATCTCTGATTCTTATATAACATACATCACATACATATATATATATACACATATATATATATATATAATAGATACTTATGTATAGAACCTAGGACTTGTCGAGGTCAGATGTGTCCAGTTTTTGTGGTTCTACTTGGCGAGCCTGGATGTGACTTACGCTGAGGTGCGGCCCTCAAACCCGATCCCCTGCAACCTGGACCCTAAACCCTAAACCCTAAACCCTAAACCCTAAACCCTAAACCCCAGAACCCTAAACCCCAAACCCGCACTTTCGAGCCCCACAGCCTTGAAACGCCGGGGCTTCACCTTGGTCCTTTAGGGTTCAGTTCAGGGACACCCTGAGCCCGAAGATTTCCCTGAACCCTGAACTGGTTAATCCGAGCTCCTGTTTAATTGGGGGGGCCCCCCCCCCTCCCCCCCCCCCACAATAAGGAATGCAGGGTTCCGCAATAGTTGGACCATGGCCCTGTATTGATTCTCTATTAAAAACAATAGGCTGCAGATCCCTGAGGTGCTGTAGCTTCGCATCTCCGCAAGCAAAACAAGAAGCCTGCCGACAGATTTTTGAACGCCCCCCAAAAAAATCCCTTTAAATGTGGGGGGGTATCCCCATACGAAATCCACCCTAATTGAAAGTAGTCTTCCGGCGGGCTTCCGGCCGAAAAAAATTCTTTAAATGTGGGGGGTTTGATTAAACAGGAGCTCGGATTAACTTATTTAGGATTTCGTTCAGGGTTCAGGGTTTAGGGTTCAGGGTTCAGGGTTTAGGGTTTAGGGTGTACGTAGGGTTTAGGGTTAGGATTCAGGGATTAGGGTTGTTCACTAGCAACAACTCTGCAGCTTGGGAGGGCATGCCCTGCAAGGCACAAACTGTGGGTTCGTAAACACAGGCCGCCCTCAGAAGTAGCCAGGATGAACGTGGTGTTTACCTCTGTATATGTACAGAGATATGGGTCATTCGCTGTGTAGAGGACGAAGAATGAGAACATACCGAACCACATAGACATGACAACAACACATGTTTCAGTATCGCAAGAAGAACAAGAAGAATACGACGACGGAGCGAGAGAGAGTGAGAGAGAGCGAGAGAAAGAGAGAAAGAGAGAAAGAGAGCAAACACACCCACCCGCCCGCCCACCCAACCACCCACCCGCCCACCCACACCACACCACACAACACCCCACCAACCCACCCACGCCAGGCCCGGCCCGGCCCCGCCCCGCCCCACCCAACCCAACCCAACCCAACCCCATCCACAACACACACTGCACACCACACACCACACTCCACACACTACGCAACGCACAACACACGCGACACACGACAAACAACACACAACAAGCAACAAGCAACGGAGCAACGAGCAACGAGCAACGAGCAACGAGCAACAAGCACCACACAACACACACCTCCACTCCCACACTTTTACTTGGATCCGAGGCGTTCCTAGCCATCCTTCTGCAGGCGGCCTACAACACCAGAGAGGCTGCTTGCGATTCTTGTCGGGGCTTTGCTCCTTGGTTTGTGGGTCCAGGGTTTGTCTGCAGTAGCCTCAGATCCGGCAGGGCCCAAAACCCGGACCCTCATCCCCGAACAACGCACCAGGTTCTCCACCGTCGGATCCTCGCGCTCTGGTGCCGTCCTCAGATCTCAACCCTATCTCGAATGCCAAGCCCTGAGACCCAGGCCCTACTCAGGATCTCATCCCCACTCGTCAGAGTCACACCAGGTTACCGCAGCAGGCCTCTTGCGACATTCCCACAATTCAACGGGTTTAGAGATTTTTTAAGTTTGGTGTTGGCTAGCGCCACGTGGGCAAAAGAGCTGCCCACTGATGATCATGATGCTTGCCTTGTTTGGTTTCGGCTGGGCCGCCTGGGCAAAGGAGCCGGCCGCTGATGCTTATGATGATGACCTCGTTTCTGTAAAACTGGTTCCACGATGAAAAGATTTGCTGCCGATGCTCATGATGGCCACGTTTGGTTTCAGCGGTGGCCACGTGGGCAAATTGGTTGGCTGATGCTCCTGATGCTGGCCTCGTTTGTGTTGGGGTGGGGCCGCGTGGGCTTAAGGGTTGGTCTTTGATGCTCATGATGCTGGCCTCGTTCGATTTCGGCTGGCAAAAAGGTTGGCCGCTGATGCTCATGATGCTGGCCTCGTTTGGTTTCGGCTGGGGCCACAAAGGGTTGGTGGGTTCGGCGGGGGCCACGTGGGCAGAAAAGAGCTGTCCACTGGGTTTCGGTGGGGGACGCGTCGGCAAAGGCGCCGTCGATGCTCATGATGCTGGCCTCGGGCCACGTGGGCTCTGGGAGAGACCTGCCCGCTTGATGCTCCTGATGCTGGCGTCGTGTGGTTTCGACTCGGGACACGTGGGCAAAAGCTGGCCGCTGATGCTCATGATGCTGGCCTCTTTAAAGACTTCGGCTGGGGGCCACGTGGGCAAGAGTAGATATGGCCCTCGCGCACGCGCAAGACAAGTTGAACGTATACGTGTAAGCCTTGAGCTTCCACTCCCTGAGATGCCCTGTAACGTAAGCTTCAGTAACCCTAAGCTTCCCCCCGAAA